GCGCATAGGGGCGGCCTTGGCCGCACCAGTCACCTGCGTCCTTCACCATCTCCGTTTTTTTAGCTTTTTGTCCTGACATCGGGTACAGGTGGGCGAGTGGGAAGAGAGTGAAGTAGACCCTGTGTGAGTCTACTTTCACTATTATCCAGCGCCAGCCACCGCGCTTGTCTTCAGTTGGCTGATCCTCGTGGTGGACATGGTCGAAATCGATAGTCGAACTGTCATCAATCGAAACAGGACATCTGCAATCGAGTCCTAATAACCACATAGACTGTAATTATCGTGCCATCCCATTCATTTCTTTTGCTTGACCACTCCTGTGAAATGGGCAGTGCTTAAATGGTAATTACTGACAACTGAATACTTTAGAATAAAATGGTCAAAACGAGGGGCCTCCAACTGCTTCAATAAACCACATAACTGTATCCCATTGACAAGTTAGTAGTTAAAAGCGTGTCGTTAAAAAAAGTCATGTAAGAAGAACAGACAGACCGACTACAGCCACCAATAAAACCGTGCCGTAGCATCTACCTGTGGACAGTCGTTAATAGCGAGACTGGTCAGCACATAGTTGGCGCAAATGAAGCTTGGTATCTTAGAGGCACTAGTGAGTGTCGCACGATGACTGTTCAAGTTGCCTCTTTGTAGCGCGCAGTTCGATATCCGTTTGGTCGCCCGTTGAATGCAGTCGAAGGAGGCATCTGACAAACTGTCAAGACTGTAGATTCGTAGGCTGCGCAAACTCGGCTTCAACAGTGCAGCGATCCCGGCCGTTTGGTCAGCACTGGTGGTGACTGCTGCCTTCCGTTGAATATCATCTGCTTTGTTTAAAGTGGACTTTCGGCTTGGCGCCGGTTTTGAGGGCTTTGCCGGCTCTACCGGCTTCATCAAACGGAGAGTTACGCCTTCAAGGAATTCGCTCTTACCCACTTCCTAGAAAGAAGGTAAGGTAAGGATTCAATATAATCACCACAATAACAAGACGTCCCACATGGTAATAGAGATTATACGGATGGGGCATATGAGGTGAAGGGAAAATAAATTAAACAGTAGAAAATAATAGGAACTATTATGTATATAACCTAAAGTTTGGCAGAAAAAAAACGCACGACAATTTAAATGAGAAATACAACCAATGGGAACCAAGAACTCTGCAAAATGAGGAACAGCGCAAGTTATGGAACTGCGCAAAGGAGTGCAAATGTCCCAGATTAAAGTAAAACTATGGGAGGTAGTCTTTTTCCGCATATTTTTGAGCTAAGTAGTAACCACGTGTTGCTAATGAAACTGAATCTAGACTCAATAAACTAAGGTAAATTGATATCATTATACTAAATACTAATCTGACTTCAACTAAAACCAAAATAAACTAATAACACTATATAATAAAATAAAAACTAAATGAAAATTTAACTAAGCTAAAGCTTAACAAATACTAACCTAAACTAAGCTGAATTAACTCAACCAAACGGAACTAAAATCAATAATACTAAAAGTAACCGCGGGAAGTTGAAGATTCGCATCTGGGGAATGCAATGGATTGACATAAGGTAAATAAGTACACAAGAAAACAGGCTTACTATAATGAAAAAAGTTTTTACTAATTTACAGAAGA